TATGGGCATCTGGAAGCCCAAATTTGAAATTTGGAATTTGTTTTATTATCGTTTTCATATTTTGTAAACTTTAACGAATTTTTATTAACATACTGAGGAATTTCAAAGCAAGCAATGACAATGCTCTACAGAAAAATAACATTTTTATCTCCAGCGCGCGAGACTGTGTATCGGAAAATCTAGAGATATGCTTATTTTAAAATTATTTTGCGGTATTGCTGTTGAACTGAATTTTACAGTTTAAGTGCGAAGAACATGATATTTAATTAATAAAGGTAACACGCAAAGTGTTAGGAAAGCTCACCTTTGGGGCGCGTGAAGTAAAATCTTAAATTTCAGACTTTATTTTGTTTTTTTAATTTCATTATATTTGTTGTCTTTTCTTTAATTTCCTATCCTTGACAATATTACCTATCGTAGCTTTAGATATCGAAAAGCGATGGCTTTCACAGCGTTTTTTAATAATTAGATACGAATAAATTTCTTCGGAGAGAGCATAAATGTCCGAAGACAAATTGTCAAGTAGCAGACGATATTTACGCTTTCAAAAATATACTTGCAGTTAAAAAGAATTTCCAAGCAGACGATTTCTTTTGGAATTTTTACTTCGTAATTTGAGCAGTTAATTCAGTTGCCGTTTGAATGTTCTTATGTGGAAGTTATCAATCGAGAGGTTTTATCTGTGTGTTTTTGCCATTTTTCTGCATATATTTCGTTAAATAAACAGTCGCTATGGATTTATCTGTGATGCTGAGAGAGGTGAGTGAAAATACATGTAAATTTATTACTTTATTGAAAGTGCAAGGGAAACGTGCTGTCATTGAATGGTGTATGAAAATTGGTTTAATTGCTACTTTTTTTTTTTTTTTTTGTTCGAAATGTGGTGAAAATATGCGTTTTTGTGAGAGAAAGGGAAGTATAGATGGATTTGAATGGCGATGTAGAAAGCAAGGAAAAGTGAATGCGCATGATGTTTGTAGGAGTATAAGGAAAGGTTCATGGTTTAGTCATAGCCATTTGAGCATATGTGATATTTTGAGAATTACGAGGTGTTGGTTTTTGAAAATGGGAAATGAATCTGTGATTCAAGAAGTGAAAGTGCATGAACATGCTGTTGTTGATTGGTTTATGCTTTGCAGAGAAGTGTGTATGACGACTGTGATAAATGATAGTGTTCCAATTGGTGGTGAAGGAGTGATAGTTGAAGTGGACGGTCATTGGGTAATTGGTGGTATAGAAAGAGGAACGAACAGATATTTTTTAGAGAGGTTGAGAATAGATCAAAGGAGAGTTTGGAGAGGATGATAGTTGAATTGGTGTTGCCGGGATCAACTGTGATTTCAGACTGCTGGAAGGCATGTGGTGGACTAAAAAATTTAGGTTAGGGCCATCTGACTGTCAATCACAGTCTGTACTTCCGTGATCCCGAGTCGGGTGCGCACACTAATTCCATAGAGGGTACTTGGTCTGGAATCAAACGTCATTTACGTCGAAATACAAACCACATAGATGGCGAATTTGATTCATATTTAGCGGAATATATGTGGCGAAAATGGAACAACTACTCACTAAGTGATGAACATTATCGTGCCTTTTTAGCGGCAATCATAAAGATTTATCCACCGGAAACGGCCGATGAAACGGAGTAAATTTAAAGACGGGGTTTAGGAAAGTTTTCCCCCCGACATAAATTAAAAAAAAAAAAAAAAAACAAAGACTTTTTATTTTCCTGAAAAGGGTAAGTGAAAATACTTTTCTTTTTAAAATTGCTTATTTTAAATATTTTTTTTTATTTTCTTTCATTGTGAGAAATTAGATGTTTTTAATTTATTAATGTGTAGAATTCTAATACGAGAGTACAGAACTTGGTGTAGGAATTTAAGAAACAGGGAAATGAAAGCTGTGTACGATGTTGATATTCAATAATAAATATTTTATTTTTATTAATGTAAAGCTTAAAAATTTTTAGAAAATAATGAAGATTGTTTACTTACTAGTATGTAAGAGATGGTGTCGTTACGTAGCAATAAGGTAATTTTGTAAAGATGATAAAGTTAAAATGTTCCGCAATATGAAATTAAAATTTTAAAAAATATGTTTTTATTTGTATAAATACTAAAGCTTAAAAATATTCACCTTGTATGAGAGACTGCGACGTTGTTTACAGTTTTAATAACTGTTACAATTCACTTACCGTATTATAGTAGTTTGAAATACAAAAAAATTTAGTATACTTATTTCTACATCTGTAGATAATACATTGTGACGTCACGATCTTAGTCCCACCCATTTATGAACGTCACATAGATCCGCCTTCGCAACTTTGTTTATGCAACGTATTCTGAGATTGTACTGGCGCGCTACTGAAAATCGCCAAGGCACATTTTCACCAAATTTAGTTTCACTCAATCTTTTTTTTTTTTTTTTTTGTTTACTTTCGATGAATTACTAGTTTCTTCGAAAATGCTTCATTTATATTTCATCCAATTAACCGTTTATATTTTGGAAATTCAACTCGAAGTTAAAATTATTTGCATATTAACCAAGTTACTAATTGCTCGTTAATTACTTATGCATTTTTAAGTAAAAGTAAAGTACTCTCTTAGCGGAGTTTGCGTTTATTATACAAAAATTAGTTATTTACAACTTTGAAATATATATTTTGATTCAAATTGGTAAATGTTGTTGGTGCTATATATGTAACAGTTCTGATCATATTTTTCCATAGTCATCTGTAATTAGTGTAGTAATTTTATCATGTTTTTTGTGTTTCGTGCATATGGCTATAGTGAGGATACAGAGTTTTAGCATTCCATGGAACTAAGTTTGTTTCATTTTTACTTAGAATTTCATATTACTCGTATTGACTCCAGCGATATCCTCTTTGCATGAACTTTTGTATAAGTAGAATCAATCAGAAAAAAATAAAGAAATCATTAAGAAAATTTAAGATGTAGGTACTTAAAAATATATATATAAGTGGGCGAAAATGAGACAGAAACATAAAAACAAACGGAGATAAGAAATTTATGAAAATTTTAATTGTTTCTGTCTATCAGTTCAGCAGCTAACTTTTGTTATTATGTATTTGTTAATTAGCATATTTATATGCACATAATTTTACTCGAAACATTCAAAATTAAAAGACCTTCCGTTTTTGTTCCGAATTTTCTGTTCATAGTAATATTTACGATAAATTGATCTAACTAACTTTTAAATAACTTTACATACACGATTGAATGAAATACTTGATTAAACTGTTTACATTTTTCCGAACTGAAACATGGAAAACCAATAACTAATTACCTTGCTTAATGGAGGTTGACTACTTGTCTGTTTTACAACAAATATTATATAATTAATTTCATAATAATAATAAGATTATTATCCATTGATACGTTTTTTAAAAGCAATATTTTTTGGTTTTCAAAAGAATTCTTAATTGCCAACTACGAAAAGAATTGTTAAGATGTTATGATGTACATCATGTTTTACAACTGAAATGAAACAATGCTTTCACTTAATAATACCCCTGATACTCGATATTTTTTATTATAAGCTTTTATTTAGTTCACTCGTAGTGTTTTATTGTGGGTAAAATTCTGTTATCGATTTTGAACCTACCTCTGATAAGCTATCGTGCTCAAATTATGTGCCCACGCTATTTGCTGATAACAATGTAATGTGATTAAATGATTTTATTTTTCAAAATTCAGTTGAGACTTTTTATATTATATTAATAAATGCATGTATACCTTTTTATATAGTACTTACTTTGTATATAATACTTTTTATTATATATCTTCATCTGACGAAAAATCTAAGCATAGGAGAATTTTATTGTTAGCACCACCGGATACAGTGGAAAAACCTTTACAGTGAAACTTCTATGAAATTTGTAATTTAATTTCTGAATTTTGATCGAATGTTTTGAAAATCGCTTGAATTTTTAGATTGATTAATGTTTATGAATTAAAAGTTTAATCACTTAAAAATGAATTGGATACGAAGTTTTGAAATTTTTGCAGATTATAAAACATACCTTTAACCTTCTTTTAAAGTAAGGATGATAAAGAAATACTAATTGAGCAATTGTCTTTATTTTTAATAAAAGTGTGTTTTAGTCTAAAGCAGACAGGAGAAAGTTTTTCAGTTTGTCATCTTGGCGTATATTATGACGAAATGGCAATATCCTTTTTTTCCATATTAACTTTAAGTAAAATGTTTGTAGCATTGTTATTATATCCAATTTATGAAACTGAATATTCAATCGATTTCTTCCATCTTTAGATAAAATGATGTTCAATTAGTTTTTTTATTAGTTTTCTTTGAATTTATTGCTTGTCTTTTAATAATGGCCAAAATTTAATTATTGGTAATGTGCAACTGAGACTAAAAAATAAATGCATACATAAAATGCAAGTAAAAAGTTGTTATGTAACTTTTATACAATATGCTTTAATTTAAAATGGCCATGATAATTCCTGAATTAGAGGCAGAAAACTGATTTTTCAAATAGTATCGCCGATAATAAAAGAATGGAGGCAACTTAATAATGAAATATATTAATTTAAGCATACTGTGAAATGTACAAGCCATTATCATTTTAAATTTATCTTTTATTGTTTGCGATATAAAACTGTAGAGGAATTTTGTAAATGGAATTATCTAATACTCGTATATTATTCCCGTTAAACAATATAATGATATTTTTCTCCTTTTAGTGCATTCATTACACTATTCATTTTAAATAAAACTTATATAGCATAAAATACTATATTTTTAATTGTATTTTATTGACACTCATTGATAATCTTAAATCAAGGTTTAACAATATTTTATGTAGTTAATATACAGCAAAACTAATTTTATTAATAGAAAAGCCTAGCATTTACATAAAAAAGGTATCTAGAAACGAATCTTAACACTTTTTCCTTCAATTGTAATATATTTTAATTTTTAACTTGAAAATAATGATTTTTTGTAATATTTGTTTCCAGGTCCTGTTCAAAAAACTCGTAGGAGATGTAAGTTTAGGCCAGCTTTCTTTCTTCTTCAGTGTCGTAGGTTTGTGCAATGTTCTTTTGATGTGGCCTTTCTTCCTTGCCCTTTATTTTGCAAAAATGGAAACAATTCATTGGAACGATATACCATGGTTACCTCTTGTAGGAGCTGCATTATTTATTTTTTGTAAGTTAAATATAGATATCAGTATCTCATTTTAGATATTAGTTTTAAAATATTACCTAAAATAGTAGTTACCAACATTTTAAGTGATACATACTTTCAGAAAATATATGAACTTTTGAGTTAATATTTTTATAGTATATTCACGGAGTAAATAAAACACATGTATGCATTGTACTTTGAATTGTAAATCAGATATATCATTAAACCCATAAAATGGCATAAGTCATTTAATAAATCTTGTTTCCTCCCTTTACAAGAGACATTACAATTTTACATTTCATTGGTTCATCAGTGAAGCATTTTATCGTATACCTGGCGTTTGTAGGCAAACTATGAAATATGAGAATTCTTAAATACTTTACCTAGGCATTGTATGTAACACTTAGGCATTCTGTAGAACGAAAAGTGATCTTTAGGCAAACTATGAAAAAAAGGCCACAATATGGTTATTATTTACAAGACTTTCATTCCTCAAAAATACAAATGTTATTTTGAAAAAATAACGAAAAGGTGCCATTAAATAATTTTTATTCAAAATACGTTAAAAAAAATTAAAGTTGTTTGAAACAAAATTTATGCCTTTCTTATTACATAAAACAAAATTTTCATGTTAAAAATAAGAAATTAAAATTAAACCTATTTGTTGTAACATCGTGGGCTTAAATGACATTTTGAGTTATCTTCATCATTTTTTTAATGAAAAGCATTTTATGTTTTGGTATTTTGTTCTACACGTACACTTGACGAATCCTTTTCGATTGGACTGAGCAATTGCGACTGTCAAGAAAGGAATTTCTTGGTCAAGAATATATTTTATTCTAAGCAAATTCGTAGAACATAAAACTGTGATTTCGTATAAAGCTGTTTTAAAATTCTTTCTGAATTTCGAAGTCGATAGAGACTTTCCTCTGTCACACTCGTTATTTAATTGCCAATATATTGCACTATATTATATACTTTCCCTAAGCATTGCGTATCATATTGACGTGTATTTCACACTTTGCCGGTTTGTTATTTGGCATTCTATAAAATGCCTAGGCAATGTGTGAAATGTTTTATCGTTTCATACATAATCAGCCAGTTTTCGGCATTCTATAAAATACCTATTTTCTTAAAGGAGGAAAACGATTCGTCTTCTATATTCAAACTGTTCCTGTGTTTACATTTTAAAATCGTTAAATGTGATAAAATTAAATACCCATTTGCAATTTGCTGGAAAGGGTAAGAAATATATGGTTGCAATTCTGGACAAATGAAATTTTTCTTCTTCACAATATTCCGAAGTTTAATAAATGGCATTCATTTTAAATTATTGTAAGAAAATATCAATATCTCCATCGACTTTTCTTTAATAAACAAAAGAACATGTGGGTTAACTCTCTTTCTTATACTTCAAGGGATAGTGTTAACCTTGCTCAAAACTATTGATATAAGCTCTTAATGTGAAGGTTATTTGTACGATTTTTATGTCCCTTGATAAACTTGTTTTCCTGCAGTCTAATGCTGGATGCAAAGATACCAACATTACAGGTAAAAATGCAAATAATTGCTTTATGGGAGCTGAATACATAATTTCGAGAAAAATAAAAAAATTAAATGAATAGAAATAAAATAGATAGATCTTTAAATAGTAAAGAAAAATGTTGCAATTTTATTTTGTATGCAAATTTCAGTTTAACACACGAAACAGTTTTAAATTAAGTAGTTATGGTAAGACTCCTAGTTTAGGAATTTGTGCTCACAAATTAGAGATCTAGAACATAAGACTTTATCCTTAATACGACAAATTCAACTGGTAGAAAAATAGAAGAAATGGTAGGGAAAAATTGCCGTATTTGTTCAGCTTAAATTAATGCCACCTAAAAGAAATGCAATTATTTAACAGAAGAAAGATATTTAATATTTGACACATAGCTGCACATACATATGTTTCACTGGTTTGTCTACACATGATGGAAGAAATATTCCCCCAAGTGGCAGTCCTTTCAGTTTCGCAAATAAGCAAAATTTTCTAAATAAGAATGACAAACACATGGAAGAGTATTTCTCTAAGTGTATAAAATATGCTTATTATAGTGTTTTCTGTGCTGAAATTCATTTTTTCTCCTTTAGCTTTGTTTCATTTGTTATATTCTGCCATAAAACAATAATTGCAGATATGTACTTCTTTTTGTTCTTCTAATTAAAATACATTAGCAAGGATTAAACACTGTTTTACATAAGACAAACTTGCCAAATATATTTCATTTACAGAAATCCAATTAAATCTCAATAACAGGGACAACTTATCTAAAAGGTTTATTAAAACTACTTATTTTATTACTACTAAAATGAAGAATGGAGTTTAGGCATTCAAATATTTTGAACAGTAATCCACAAATTCAAATTTCAATTATCAGCTAGACCCTAAAAAAGGTAGATTATAAAGCTACATGTTAAGAGATAAAAAATTTTCCGCTATATATTCAAGCTGGCTGAGTGCGATTCTCAGGCCAAATCGGTTTGATCTATACCGGTTTGAATTCTATGAATTAGAAGACTCATTCTCGATTTATATTCAGTGTAATTTGCATTCTGAGATACCTGACAAAATGGTAATTCTAATGGACGCAAAGGAATTAACATCAAAATACTGTGTTAGCAAAATTAACATTTCACTTTAGAAACAAAGAAATACATCAAATATTCATCCTAAAGAGGAATCTGAATGCAGGGAATTTCTGGGAACATGAAACTTGCTATGCCTGTATAAATACTGAACTTGCACGTTGAACTGTTTTCAAAGGTACAATAAGACCTATGTACAATAAGACTTAGCTGTTTTGTTAAACGAACCAAGATTGAAATTAATTTTTCATATCTTTTAAACATATTTTGGTAAGCTTTGTTGGTGAATCTGGCAACCCTCAGTAAGCTAATAATTTTATTCAGAGAATACGAAATTTTCATGGACACCATTTATATGTATGTGTATGCATGCAAAATTATCCTAAGAAATAATTTTCAAAACAGTCTTAAAATAAACCATTAAGTCTCATGAATTTGTAATATTGCCAAGTTCGTTAAACTAGTAAACTAAATTATAACATTCGTATCTTGATCATGATAAATTTCAGTGAAGGTCTAAGCTAACTGTTGAATCTGTCATGTTTATTTTAATGGAATTAAAAGCCTTAGACTGTGCTATTCATGCTTGTTCCAATTATTATCCGAAGATTTGCAATATATTATTAGGCTTTACATTCTTCTTCACGGGAGCAAGAAAGCAGTAACTAAAATTCCTATTCAATGGTGTATTCAGTTTTTATACTTAAACTGTATGAATAAGATTTGACATTAAAGGGAATCCTAGGTAAGAAGAAAGGCATTTGTAAGTATGAATAAATTTTGAGACTAAATATTTAATTTTAAATATTTTATTATGGGATAGTTGCCATGTATTTCTTCTAGATCATATATTTATCCATCACAAAAATTGTTTCTTACTATCTTATGCTGATCTAGTAATTATGAGGAAGCAATACAAGATATTAAATTCTTTAAAATAACAACAAAAAACAGAATTTTCTTTTTAACTTGAGATATTTACTACAGATTTTATAAGATTGTTATTAAGAGGATTATTTTATAATAAATTTAGAATAAGAGCAAGAATAAAATTTCATTTCTATTATTTAAAATAAAATTAACTTATGTTCCTGTGCATGCCAGCCATTAGCCAGTTTGAAAGTTAAGGTATGTATCACTGATGAACTGAAAACAATAGTTTGTTATTGCTTTCATGTAGTGTTAATGTCTCTGGTTTAATTTTAAAAGTTAAAAAGTGTATAATTTATAAAAGGAATTTTTTTTTCTGCAAAAGGAGGGAATATTTTAGGAACTGTGATTTGCTATTATTATTTACGTCAAAAGCCAAATAACTCTTGCAGTTCTTTAAGCGAATAAACCTTTTCGTAATAAATCATTGAATTTTTAACAATTTATGCATGATTTTAACGATTTTAACAATTTATGCATTTATGCAAGGGCCAAATAACTCTTGTATTTCTTTAAGCAAACAAAGCTTTTAGCAATAAATCATTGAATTTTAACAATTTTATATGTACACATTATATGTAGATACTGTATACATGCATTTAAATGCATGTATACAGTATATGTAGAAATATTTAGTTTATCCTAAACCAAAAGTTGAAGAAACACTATGCCTACAATTTAAACGTCAATGTACAATTCTTTTTAAATTCAATATAACGCTTGGCATGTTCACACAGCTGCTTGGTTGGTTCCGTCATGGAACTCATTGTTTGGAATAATGTTTAAGACCCTGTTTATAGTTTATGAAATTCTTAAATGCTATTAAAATAGTGACATTTGATGTGATTATTTTAAGAGCTCACAAGATTGGCTTTAGAAGGGAAGTAATTTGGAGGTGTCACATCTAGAGTGGGGTGAGTGCCAGTTATTAGTCTTTTCTTCGCTGGCAAGTTGTGGGAAATGTGAAATTCTCTTGCTTCCGTTATAAATCTTTTCTATTTAAGAATTGCATTAAATTTATCTTCATTTATAAAAGTTAATAGTGGAAATGGACTGAAAGGCTAAACATGAGGGTGCTAAAAATCTGTCCCATACTTTTATAATTATTTTTACCACATTACATTTCCTTCTATTACCATACTTTTTTCTTGTGACCTATGGCAGCAACAATGAAAATTTGCTTAATGAAGGAACAATAATATCTTTGTACTTAATTACACCTTAAAAGGAATATTTACAGCACAACGTATTTCATTATTTGCTCTATTTTAAAACCGAAGTATAACCTTCAGCATTCTTAAATTTATTACAATACTAATCTGTCAAAATGAAGTAAAATAATTTTGTTGAGCATAAATTAGCATTGCATTAATTCGCGATAAAAGAAAAAAAATAATAATAATAAAAAAAAGCTTCAAAAATTCCTTACACAATTATTTGATCTCCGTCCGCTAGATGGCAGC